TTAAGTCAATTTTGGTGCACTCTATTTTTCCAAGACTACTTTGTACAAGTTGCTGAAACTGTTGGACTAACATTGCCAATAGTATTTATTTATTTATTCATTTATTTATTTATTTATTTATTTTTGAGATGGAGTCTTGCTCTGTCACCCAAGCTGGAGTGCAGTGGCACGATCTCGGCTCACTACAGACTCCACCTCACAGGTTCAAGTGATTTTCTGCCTCAGCCTCCCAAGTAGCTGGGATTACAGGCAGGCACCACCACGCCCAGCTAACTTTTTTTATTTTTAGTAAAGAGAGGATCTTGCCATGTTGGCCAGTCTGGTCTTGAACTCCTGTCCTCAGGTGAACCACCCGCCTTGGCCTCCCAGAGTGCTGGAATTACAGGGGCAAGCCACTGCACCCGGCCGCCAATAGTTTTTTTTTTATTATTTTTGCTAATTTTGCTAGCATTGGTGGTTATTACCCCATTGTTATTCCTGATGTTGGTGAATTTTGTTTTTAACTTAATTTTTTTTTTTTTTTTGGAGATGGAGCCTTGCTCTTGTTACCCAGGCTGGAGTGCAGTGGCAGGATGTCAGCTCACTGCAACCTCCGTCTCCCTGGTTCAAGTGATTCTCCTGTCTCAGGCTTCCGAGTAACTGGGATTACAGGTGCACGCCACCACACATAGCTAATTTTTTGTATTTTTAGTAGAGACGGGGTTTCACCATGTTGGCCAAGCTGGTTGTGAACTCTGGACCTCACATGAGCCACCCACCTCGGCCTCCCAAAGTGCTGGGATTACAGTGAGCCACCACACCCGGCCACATGTTGGTGATTTGTGTTCTGGATTTTTCTTTGTTTTAATTTTTATTTTTATTTTTTTGACCAGTCCAAATAGAATTGTTCAGTTTTGTTGACCTTTTTAAAGAAAGTTTTGGGCTTTGTTAATTTTTTATGCCATCTCCCTGTTTTCTATTTTGTTAAACTTCTGCTCTTTATTATTTCCTTCCTACTACTTACTATGTGTT